TTTGGTATTTTGCATGGGACAATATATCTTCTGTCTCTTATACACATCTAGATGTGTATAAGAGACAGTACATGACCACTGTATTCATCTATATACATGACTAAACTTAGTATTTCGCTATTTGCCTACATCAGCGGTAGCATAGACCTATCAGCTAAAAGTAACATAAGCAGTATTTCCTGATAATAGGAAGCTTTCGATTTGTGCGACGACGCGACGCTATAACGGAATCACTCATCCGTGACCGTCCTACCTGGCGACCTACGTTCTCTGCATACGTAGATTTAGACTTGCCACAAGTCTCTTATTTTTATTATTTTTCTCATTCTGGACAGCGCCACCAACGAGAAAGTTAATTTAGAGACAGACGGAATAAGCCTAATTCGAAAAAAAAGAAATCGAGTATGGGACGCCAATTAAATTAGGTATGGCGCGCATTAAGTGCAATAAAGAGTGAGTAACCTAAAATTCTGTCTCTTATACACATCTAGATGTGTATAAGAGACAGTTTGTCGTACTTGCTTTAATGTAATTTTATTGTGTATATATTATCTGATGATTAATTTAATTGTAAATAATGTATTTTCGATATTGTATTTTTGCCATCTTTTGTATATTGCCTCAATGCCCCTTTTGTGATCGTGTTTGCGTGTTTTTTTAGTAACTTTTTTATGAGAATCTTTTGTAAGTTGACGCAATTCAACGTTTTATGTTGCCATGTCAATTTTTATTGAATAAACCATAATGAATGAATGAATGAATGTTCATATTATATAATATAGTTTTTGTATAACTTTTATGTTTTTATTGTTGGCAGTGCAAGACATCAATTGTAGTCCTATATTGTTCTTAATAAGTACATATTCTTTCCAAACTTTTTATTTCTCAAACCCGTCTGGTAATCACCACTTTCCGCGGCGGAACATTCAAATTTGCCGCCCTCATTAGGCCGTAACATTTCGATCAGGTGACATACACATGGAGGTTGTTTGTTTACCAATCGGATCCACACTCCAGATTAAGTTGCTGAAGAAAAATAATTGTTTCCTTGTTATAAGATCTATATTCTTAAATGTGAGGTAAGTTCTATGAATGCCGTGCGATATATATCTGTACATACATAAATAATTCACTTCACAAAGGCTGCTAAAAGATTATAAAATTTGTCGTGAATAATCATGATTGTAGGGCCAGTGCCTATATGCCTAGTTGTAGTTGTAGGATGTTGTAAGTTGTAGGATAGTTTCACCAGCCAGCAGAACTTCCATGATTATGAACCAGCTAGATTGCCGCTATGCGTTAGGCCTGAGTGAGTGGGGCATTCCGAAGTGAACTGGCTAGACCTAGGCCTAACTAGTGATGGTAGTAGCAGGTAGTAGTATTTTTGGGTACTACCAGCAACAAAAAATTCTTATATATTGTGAGTATCACACACGCAAGCACACTGGGCTATTGAGTTGTATACTTTGTAGGCTAATGTGGTAGGTCCATTACCAATTTTAAACACAAGGCCTACAGTAGTACTACTGTATTAGGCCGCTCCAGACGGTAGGTCTAGGCCTTGTTTGCTCGGCCATGTTGTCAATTAATTATTTATGCTCATTTTGATATTAATCTTAATCCTTTTTATTATTGGCATATTCTGTTTATTAAAATGTGTTTATTGTTCTTGAATTGAAGAGGCATGCCTTATAATAAACTATTTTTTTGTTTGTTTTAATTGTGTAGATACCGTAATATAAGTTTTTGATTTTTTATAATTTGCAGACCTTAGTGAATAAGAAAAATACCAATTTATACTTGGGACTCACAAAGTATTTGAGAATTGGAGCAAGACGAAGAGAAGCACATGTGAAGGGGAAAAAATGGTTCAAGTTTACTCCTGCCATCATTTCAGCTCTCAGGAAGTGTTCACTTCACAGTACGAGCCCATAGCAACGTGCTCGTCCACAAATTTAGTCTTTGTTGCCACATCTCGACAGACGGTTGAAACGCATGACATGACAAAAAGAGGCTGCCCTCTGTTGTGCACATTTAGCACAGTTGGAGTTGTCCTAGATCTGGCTTATAGTGAAAAAGGTAATTTTAGATTAAACTTTGTTGTAGTCGAGCAAATGCAGTTCATCACATTATCATCTTCTGATCATTATTCTCATCATTTTTATTCATCTTCAGAAACCTCTTCATTATCACCTTCCTCATATTTACCTCATCATCATCTTCATTATCATCTTTATCATAATCATAATCATCATCATCGTCTTCATCATCTTATATAAAACAATGACATGATGATTATTTATGAGACTAATTCACTATCTGTGATATTATTTACTTATATATTAATCCTTCATACTTTATTTCTTCTTAAATTAGGTAACTTTGTTGCGGCTTTAGAAAGTAAAAGTTTAAAACATCGGTCAGTGACATCAGCAAGAGTGTATATGAATTGGGCCAAGAGTGCACCAGGGCAACCAGGTCGTGTCCGCGTTGCAGGCCACAGTATACCCAGTAAGAAACTCACTTCAAAAGGCTGCCAGTTTGAGGTGATTGAAATTCCAACGTTCAACTCACCTACCTCTATAAAATGCTGTAGCCTGACTGGAAACATTGTTATTGGTGTGGACACCTGTGTCTGCCTGTTCCATTTCCAGGAACTGGGGAATGACACAGTTATCTATGACTTTGAGCGTCTTATGAATATTGATGTCGGATTTACTGTGATTGATACAACAATCTGTTGTAATTATTTATCTTGCATCTCGCAAAGTGAACTCCAAATCTTTAAATTAAATTTCACTTCAGAAAAAAAGAGCAAATTAGACAATTTAAAAAATGAGGATGGAGAGAAGGAGTTTACCAGCATTAAGATGGTTCAAGAACAGAGAGAGAAATCTTTTTTTGTTGAGGATGAATATTTTGTGAGCTGGTCTTTTAATGAGCTAGAAAACAACTCATATTTGCAGGAGTCTTGTGAGCAGAACCCAGACTTTGAGACCTTGCTGGCAGCAGTCAAATTAGAAAATTTATCAGCAAATAAAACGTGTTTAATGCCTAGTGTCCAACAAGAAGAGGTGTTTATTGACAAGTCATATGACTCAGTTGAGGTGCTGGGGCCATTGAGGAAAGTCAAAGGTCACCCTATAAAGATTGATTTAGCTGGAAATTTAAGGTATGCAGAACGATTATATGATAAATTAAATAATTATAGTGTATTTTATTGTTGTTATAGCATGATATTAACTGTATATAGTATTGCTAATTTTATTGTCATTAATAAAATTAATGTAATGATGATATTAATTTTAAAATCACCTTCCATATCCTTATTATTATTAATATCACCATCATTATCTTTGATTGATTATATCATTTCCCATGAATTATTGTTTTATTTGTTTATTAATTGCAGTTTAGGTGATTATAAAAATGTTGTCTTGACAACTCTTATATATCGTCGTTTTGAAACAACATTGAATGATGAGGGCGCCCTACATTCACTTCAATTTTGTTCAACTATTTCTCCAAGAGGTAAAATAAATTCAAGCGTCTTATGCACTCCATACATTCAAACTTAGTAATTACATATTTCATATTTTCTTTGTAAATATAATTTTCATCTTAGCATTAGCACAATCACAGGCACTACGACCATTATATACTTTTTTTTCTTTTTCAAAGGAACTCTAAAGTTCGACTGCGGCCTCCTAGGCTCCAACATACAGCTTGCTGGACTATGCTGCTTCGTTTCGACACAAACCACAGGCATACTGTATGAAATACATCCGCAAATTAGACTCCTTGCCTTGTATCCTTACACAGCGGAATCAAGCCTGGCTGTAATTGGCAGGGACTTGCTCCATGCAGTAACAAAGAACGGCTTAGAGACATACACAACACGATCATTTGCTGCCGCCCTTCTGAATAGTGAGACGGTAAATCATAAAGAAAATGTGAGCCACTAATCTTATATTTATTTTTGTATTGAAAAGTTACAATTGTATATTTTTTTTAAAAAGATACAACAATTGTGGCAATATAATTAATAATAATGTTATTGATAATAATCACTTGGAAGTATGATAATTATTATTTTTTTTGCAATAATTACTGTAGACCTGTCCACCTGCAACACAAGAGCCCAGCCTGATTGGCCTTCGACCTTTCATTGGCATATTTGCCATGGCAATAGCTGAGAACCATCTTATCATGTTATCAAAGGATTTGCAGTCCAGCGGGTAATTCATGGCACTTGATAGTCTCACTTGCATTATATTCATTATATCTTTTATTCAAGACATAAATTTACTATAGTGTCTATTATAAGTCAGTTGTGGAATTTACATTCCCTGCTTCAGTCAAATTTTCAGGAAATAACAGTTTCTTTGGCTGCTATATTCCAACAACTATACTATATTATCATTATTTCCATTATTATGAAAATAATTCTTTTTTTTTTCAGTGAAGGGAGTTGGGGAACTTATGTTTTGAAGGATGCCCTTATTGTTGACCTCTACAATGACATCATTGACTTAGCCAACAGGTTCCAGACTGGCAACGTCTGTGCCTACTTATTCTTGTTAGAGGAAGCCCACTTGGTGCTGAGATCATTCATGTTTCATACCAGTGGTCAAGAAAACTTTGAAATGATTGACCAGTACAAGGAGACATGCAGGTTACTAGGGGATCACTATGCGGGGTCAGTTTTGGTCAATTGTTGTAATTTTACTTTTTAAGTTTTTTGATACCATTAAAGCAATAAGAATTTATAATGTGGCAATTTAAACAATTTTTATCATAATTTTCAAGGTTCTTGTACATGTTGTTATTAGAATTACAGAATGTAATGGAGAAAAAAAAAAAGTAGTTTATTCAAAGGAAAAAAATTGATTTCATAAATAAATTCCTATACATTAACAAATTTAGTTATGGTTTATAAATTCAACAATTAATTTATTTTATTATGAATTAAAATTTATTATTTTATCTGCTTAGGTCAGATGCTGAGTCTCCTCATTTAGCGTTACCGTACTACAACATGTCCCAAAAGAAATTGTCCACGATTATAAAAGATCAACATGAGAAACAATGCAAACAAAAGGTAAACATTGTTAATAATGTATTTAATTAATTAAATGTCTAGATAGATTTTCAATAAATAAATCTACATCTATAAACAATCTACACCACAGGAAATATTCCCAATAGGAATGTTTCTATTTTGCTAAATCTTTAGATAACTGAATATATTAGGCCTACTCTATACAACAATCATCATATTATATTTAACAGTCATATGACAATGTAATACATGGTAATTATAATATTATCCTTTTTATCAATTAGTTGACATCATTATCAAACTCTATTTTATTGTAATGATTTCATTTGCTAAGTGAGTGATTTGCGACATAGTCTTCTAATAATATAGATATGCAGTAAAGTGCTTAGCTTGACTGTGTTTTTCTCATTTCTATAGGATAGATCTCTTGTGAGTGGTAGAGGTTTACTAGATTACCTTGACTACCATCTTTTTGACCAGTCAGCCATTGTGTCTCTTGATGAATGCACTGCAGCAATGGTCCTTACCATGTATGTCAATATTCAACCAGAGAGGCTTTCAAATGTCATCCTGGAGTCTAAACTTGTTGGTTACTCTCTTGAGGGCGCTCTGCAGTTTTTAGAAGATTTGAAAACATTGAAACGGAAAGATGGATCTTATTATATGTAAGTGATGTAATTTGTGTGTGTTATTCTTAACCTAACAGTATTTAATGACACCTTTGGTGTAACTTTTTCTGAGATTTATATATATATATATATATTTATTTATTTATTTGTAAACCAACGATTTCAGCCTACGGGCTGCCTGTTTTGGTGTTATATTTTTATACCGTGAATAAATAAATAAATTTTAATTTATTATATTTGTTTTAATCCTCTTATTATTTGTTGGCTTTAGACCAACGGTTTTAGACTCCATCTGCCAGGCAGTGATTCAGCTTAAACTTTGTGAGCCAGACCAGGCTAGGTTCTTATTAAATCCCCTTTCAGACGAAGACGTCACCAAAGTGTTTGTTCAGAGACCATGGCTGCTTATTGATGACAATAAATTCTCTTCTCTTGCACAGGTATTTAAAATGATAAAATTTATATATTGTTATTTCATTGTTTTTTAGTTTATAAATAATCATTACTCATTAGAATAACCTGTGATTCAACAGGATTTTTCTGTTCTGTGGTCCCTTTTCCATCCCAGCTAGTAAATGACACATGATACAACATCAAGTACCCACTTATACTCCAGGTAAAATGAAAAACAACATGTAAAACACATCTCTCTTAAAAACTCAAAAAACATGTGGTGAGCCTTACTAGACTTGAACCCTGGTCTTTTTTATTTGAAGTACAAAACCATTGTTCCACATCCTTAAACATCATCATTCAACAGAATAATTATAAATTATTACTTCAGATTATTGTTTTGATATTTTCTGCATATATTTCATCTTTTAGTTGATGAGACAACATAATTCCAAACTTTTCGTAGAGGTTCTTATTGCATTGCATGACAACAGCTCTGTTGGGTTGGAGACAGCTTTACAGCTCTTTGAGGTATGTTGCACCAAAGTGTTTAGAATTGCAAGAGGTTTGACTGCCTCTATTTTGCATGCACTCAATGAAACAAAAAACAAGGTACTACTACGAGATAGGTGGCAACTTGAATATGAATATGAATGCCTTTTATATTCTTGTGAGGACACCCTGTAGTACTGTTCGAGGTAGGATTTCGATGAAACCCTGAGAGTTGAACCTCTTGCAGTCCTTATGGTTATATTTAAAACTTTTGTACTGCCCTCTAGTGTCAGGTAATTCAGCTGGTAATTTTACTTGCAGAGTTTGTTGGGCATCTTTTGTTGGGCATCATATGTAGATTTTAGGGTGGTTCTGTCATAAGTTGACATCATAATCAATTTTGAGCCCACATTATCCTTCTACATTTTGAAATGTTTCCTAATACAATATCAAGTGAGCTTTATTCCAATATTTGCTGTTACTTAATTTAGTAGTAGATAACAATAGGCCTTTGTACATAGAAGCACCTGATATCTGCTATGACTTGTTCCTCCCTCTACTCATCAGGTGGCTGAGGATCTTTTTTAGAGAGACAAAACAAGAATTATAGTAATCTGGAATATAGTAATCTGGAAGCTGACTCTCAATGAGCTGCCCCTGACCAAAATTTGTTGTATTGTACCTATTTTAATATTTTTGATATACTCTCATTGTATGTGTTTGTATTATTTTACTGTATCTTTTGTATTTTATATGTATAAATGCTATGAAAACTTACACTTAAAATATTTTCTGCCAAGGACTAAATGAAGTTGAAATTAAATTAAATTGAATTGAAATTGTAATGTTCACTGGTAGATTAAATAAATGATGTGAAATGAAATCTCTTTTGTTCATACACTATCATATAGTGTTTTACTCATGACTCTTGAATGTCCACAGGCCTGTTCAACATACATAAATCCTAGCAATACACATTTGAGGGACTACCTGGAAGTCATTTTGAATGCAAGCCACAGGAAAAGCTCTTACAAAACAGCTGCTGTAAGTATTATCATGGCAGTGATATCCATTCTGTATTATTTCATTAGATTTTGTTATTTCAAGACTTGGTTAAAAATGTCTTCTCTTTTTTCTCTTCTAGAATCTACTTGCTGAAATTTATATTCAAAGGTTGAATGCATGGAAGCCGGCACAATCAAGGGTGGTGAAGGGAAGGGGACATGTCCATGTGGTAAGTTACAGCTAACACAATCAAGGGGGTAAAGGGAAGTGGACAGGGGTGTGGGATGGCCATTGTTTTTGACCAGCACGAGTGTGGTAAGGAGAATTTTAGTGTCGTAACCATAACAAATTAAGGGCAGTTGTTGTTTGTAATCAAAAAATTGTTATTTTGGGCAGATTGAATCTCTACAGCTTAGGCTGCCCCTGACCACAATGTGTATTATACCTATATTATGTGCATTGGTCGTATAAATAGATGAAATGAAATTACAAATATATATTTTATTCAAAGGATGTTAGTGGATATTTTGGCAGTCGCTATGGTTGGTTAGATGATGTTCTACCTTTTGCAGGTAAGAATAATTTGATTTTTTTTACTGTTATAATAATCTTTCTATTACTGTTACTCTTTCAATTACTTATATAAATTTCCCTTGTTTTTTTTTTTTTCGTTTTTTTCTTAATTTACTGTTTATTTTCATTATTCCTTTTACATATTGCTTTCCTTAATTTGATCTCTTTTTTTTCTACATCTTTCCCTCTTTTTTTAATCTCTTTTTTTCCTTTGTTATTGTTACCTAAAGCTGACCCTTGATACAAAACCAGAGAGTATGAAAAAGCTCACGCAAATACTTACAAAACAAGATTTTTTCTAGCAGATTGTCAGCCCTATGTGATTTTTTCGGGTGCATGTCTTACAGGTAAAGAGGCCCTCAGAAAGCCCTGCTCTATGGTAATGCGCATACTTGATGCTGGGAACAGGAAGCCTAGCCGACAGATGTCCAAGAAACTTGAATTTGGGGCTAATAAGGAATGCCACTGCTGCTGCTGCTATCAAGATCTCATCAAAGCTCAGGTTTGTATACTTTATCAATTTTCTAATTGTTGTATTATGTAAGTTTGTTCATATGTGGCAAAGACAAGCCAAACCAGTCACTCCTCACAAAAATCGATTTTTAGTTAGTAGTATATGGTTAAACAGTAAAATGAGACCTATAAAATGGTGAAAGAATCATTTAAATCCGACATTTCGTTACAGCAGTTTAAACATACAGCTGTTTAAAGAACAAATTTAAAAAAGCAGCCTTCAAAGTTTATGATTTCGGGCATTTCTCTGGCAGAAACCATTACCAAATCTTTAAAAATGTTTATTTAAATATTGAAAATGGAGAAAATAATAACATGGCATGATGTATAGATATATAAATGGCCATCTCTGAAACATGATTTGCGACGATTGACTGGTTTGGATTGTCTTTGGCACATATAGTCTTGTGGTATATGAACATGTATCAGATATAAAGAAATGAATATATAATATGATGATGGTGAAGATAATGATGATATAATGGATTACTGTATATGATGTTGAATATGGTGTGCGATATATTTGTCTGCTGTGTGTGGCCCATGCAACAGAGTGCAGACCCGCTGTCATGATGACTCGCTGGCCAGAGAAGTAAAGCAATAGAAAATTTACCTCTACAGAAATGGTCAGTGTTGGACTAAGGGGGAGGGGGAAAGGGAGGGCCAGCCAGCCTGGGCCCCCTTTAAATTGTTTAAATATTTTTTAATGGAGATATAAAGAAAATTATATTCAAATTCTTAGTCTGAGAGTGCAATTTCCGGCTAGTGGTGCCATAAACACAAATTTTCTTACCTCGGCCATTGTGGGGCTGAGGTGGTATAGTCTCCATCTGTGAAAGTACCTCCCGGGGGGAGGGGATCTGAGGTCCCAGGCCCCCACTGGCGCCACCCCTGCCTCTACTTTGATTCCTGGATCCGGCACTGATAGTTGTTCTAATTGGATTTTCTTGGTATTCAAATTGATGTTGTATTAAACTATATTTTCTCGTTCAGTCTCTTTTATGTACAAAATCCTCTGATGGAGGTCCCCATAAGCTGATACTAGAAGCATGTAATGGAGCTGATTTCATAGGCTCGGAATCATTGAAACTGCTGTGTCTAGCAAGGCTCAACCCAGGCCTAGCAGCTAATTTCATGCTGGACAAGTACCCACATTTATTAGTCGTATTCGTGAAAGATGTTTTCGGCTCTGATGAGAATCTTTGGAAAAGTTTTCTTGAGATATTATTTAAAAAAATAAGAAAATCAAAATTGGACAGGGATAGTAAAGAAAATTTGAAGATGTATTCTGATATACTAAAAGGTAAGAACTGTCAATTTTTGTAAGCCTATTGTAGTCTGTCTTGTTATAAATTCATGCTTCCAGTCATTCTAAAATGCAAACATGCACTTTACCTATTAGTGATTGGCTGATGTGTAAAATCTAATATCAAATGTTCCCTTTTACAAAATATTAGGTGTGTTGGATTTGGCAGTATCCTCTCTGAATCATACCGTCTTCATCAGTGTGCTACCAAATGATGGCGCTCTTTCATTCTTCCTTCCGTACATTGAGAGATGCTGCTACAGACTGGAGGCAAGCAAGCTTAGAAGTAGCATCGCTGCAGATCTTATCGCCAAAACAGAAATGATCTGAGCATCATCTGCTGTAGTTTGTCTATTTTGCAGCCATTTTTGTGCCGATATACACAATTGTTTTTAAGCCTCACCCAGAGAACACTCTATTGCTGTACTGCACCAGAAAAACTTTTCATTTCAGTTCTTACTTCCATAGTTCATAGTCAGTGACCTTTGCATGATAGATACATTCACCATGTCAAGTACATTTTTTTTAATACATAGTTTCATGAAAAATTTGCCAATGAAATACAGTTTGAGTTTTATTCATTAAAGTGTTCCATTGAACACTTAGGCTGTTTCCGCAGCACTTATTACCCGACAAATTATCGAAAGCAGCCATTTTATTATTTTTTGCTGCGGAAACAGGGCCCAAAGTTTCCGATAAATTATAGGATGAGAATCAGATAATTTATCAGAAAGGGATCCAAATGTGAAAAAAAAACAAAACAAAGCTTTGACCGAGGGTACAGTATATACAAAGTATCAAAAACTTTATAATAAAAAGTGAATACATTTTTTGGGCTTATTAAATATGAGGGAAAAATTAATTTCATTATTTGTAAAACTGAAATAGTTACTGGTCTGAGCCAGAAGTCTGTGAAATCAGCGTATCACAAGCGTTCAGTCAAACTTTTTCAGAACATTTAAGAGGGCGACACTCACCCTTTGTACACCGAGATAGGCTCAAGGAATTTGTGCATTTAATAATGCTTTAAATTGATAATTGCAAACAATAATAATTTAAAAAAAATATAAATAATATAAAAAATATATGTAAATAATAAAGGGATTATATTAAGCTGATGATTGGTATTACTGCATATGTTAACTTTCAATAATCATATTCATAATAGACTATAAGTTGTACTATATTATAAATTTTTATATTGTAATTGTTGTATGCTAGCAATGAATTTCCCGAACAGAATTGATGAAGTTTTTATATTATCTTATCTTTATTTTTAAAAAAAATGAAATCACTGCACTCGATGAGGTCTGTCCCTATCATGTATTGCGCTGTAAAAGTACACCAAACAAAGTTAGCATTCTGTTTTGCCTTCTCAATCCCTATACAGCTACATTGCAAGCACAATGAAGCATCAGTGTGATCCAGTATTTCCCAGGGTATAGAAAGTACCGAATAGTTTCTTGGTTTCTTTCTATCCATCTCATGCAAAAAAATGGTCATACCAGGGTAATCTGCTAAGTCAACAAAAGGGATGTTGAAAACATTGCATTGTGGTCCATAGTTTTGCATGATTGGATAAAATATTTGGAGGGAATATATAATTTATCTGAGAATTGTCGGAGAAATTTTAAGTGCTGTGGAAAAATTTCCTTAGAAAATTGCAGAATGAATAGCATTTTGAGTCATCACTATTATACATGTATTTCCATTTTCTCTTGCCAAAGTATTTTGATCGGGGTGGATCCAGTAAGGGGTACATTCCCCCATTTTGCCACTAAATTTTAAAATTTCAATTAAATTAGCGCTACTCACTTATCTATTTTGAATATGTTGTGCGTGCCCCCCACACCTCCCTGTAAGCAAATGTAATTATTGTATATTAGTCAGAATAATACACATTTTCTATGAATAAATATATAATTGAAAACTTACTGGTCCTTAGTATATGGATTTGGTTGTTTGATGAATTGTAGGTCAAACATATAAATTATAAGACTTGATAATTTAAGACTTTTCAGTTTATTCCGAAAACAGATAAATATATTCAAATGAGCACATTATACTAATAAAATTATGAAAATTTTTGTTGAGTGCTCAAAATTTATTGGTTATCAATGATGACATTTACCATCAATAGTGAGGGTGCTGTCCAAAGCTGCAGCACCTCTTGATTTTTTCTCCCGCTCTACTGTTTTCAACTTAGCTTTTTCTTGGATTTACATGTTTACTGCATATTCTGATCGGTACTATTGGTAAATTGATACTGTATACTGAAAAATATCACCAAACTGAGGCCCTACAATTACCAACTTAGCTTGACAGAACACCAACATAAAACAAAAATAAATAAGATACAGTAATTGGTTGGGCAGTATCGCTATTGACTATTGCATATTAGCAATGAGTGATTATGACTTCATGATTATTATGTTACTGATCACCAATAATAAATTGTTCAAGGTTAACAATAACCAATTAATATAGACCAATATTCAATTGATATTTTGAAAAATTGAAAATATCTGACAATATTTATCACTAATAATCAATAACCAATACCAATGTAATCAATTTATAATGACCAATCAATTGATTTTTGATTAGTCACCATAACTATATCAATATTATCAATAATGATTGATAATTCAATGAAATTGTAAGATAGTGATTGATTCCATCAACAGTAATCAATTGATGTTTAATCAGTAACTCCTATCACAACACAAAGCATCTATTTTGATTTTTCTTTCTTTTTAGTTACTCTCTTTTCTTTTGCACCATCTTTCTTTTCATCAGATTCTTCTTTCTTTTTCTGCCATGGTAATGGATTTCTTCTAAACATAGGCCACGGTGGTAATGTGAGCTTGAAAAAAACAAATCCGGAAATATTTTGAAGACGTTCATTTCAATATAGATGTGCATTATTTTATAAAGTACAGTACTACAATGCTGAAGTGACCACAGTGTTCTCCCAATTGAATATTTTTTACTTGTAAATTTGTCCCTATTATTTGTCTAAGAGTGCGTAATGTGATGTGAGGAGTTCAATGGCTTTAAAAAACAATACATAATCATAGCCTAGGCCTGGACAGCAATGATGTTCATTTATTGAAAGAAGGCCAGTCTATTTTTGGACTGTCTATTTTTAAGTGAATTTCTTTATGGTTTTGAGTAGACCAAATTGACTACAATATTAGGGATTTGGCGGTTACACTTACAATGCATGATAATATAAAGCCAGCACCAACCATGTAAACTGTCTGAACAAACTGCTGAACCAAATAACCCCAGATGAACCCTACAACCTTTAAAAGAAAATGCTGTCTCTTTCAAAAACTTTATAATAAAAAGTGAATACATTTTTTGGGCTTATTAAATATGAGGGAAAAATTAATTTCATTATTTGTAAAACTGAAATAGTTACTGGTCTGAGCCAGAAGTCTGTGAAATCAGCGTATCACAAGCGTTCAGTCAAACTTTTTCAGAACATTTAAGAGGGCGACACTCACCCTTTGTACACCGAGATAGGCTCAAGGAATTTGTGCATTTAATAATGCTTTAAATTGATAATTGCAAACAATAATAATTTAAAAAAAATATAAATAATATAAAAAATATATGTAAATAATAAAGGGATTATATTAAGCTGATGATTGGTATTACTGCATATGTTAACTTTCAATAATCATATTCATAATAGACTATAAGTTGTACTATATTATAAATTTTTATATTGTAATTGTTGTATGCTAGCAATGAATTTCCCGAACAGAATTGATGAAGTTTTTATATTATCTTATCTTTATTTTTAAAAAAAATGAAATCACTGCACTCGATGAGGTCTGTCCCTATCATGTATTGCGCTGTAAAAGTACACCAAACAAAGTTAGCATTCTGTTTTGCCTTCTCAATCCCTATACAGCTACATTGCAAGCACAATGAAGCATCAGTGTGATCCAGTATTTCCCAGGGTATAGAAAGTACCGAATAGTTTCTTGGTTTCTTTCTATCCATCTCATGCAAAAAAGGGTCATACCAGGGTCATCTGCTAAGTCAACAAAAGGGATGTTGAAAACATTGCATTGTGGTCCATAGTTTTGCATGATTGGATAAAATATTTGGAGGGAATATATAATTTATCTGAGAATTATCGGAGAAATTTTAAGTGCTGTGGAAAAATTTCTTTAGAAAATTGCAGAATGAATAGCAATTTGAGTTATCACTGTCATACATGTATTTCCATTTTCTCTTGCCAAAGTATTTTGATCTGTATGTTTCTGTAAGGGGTGGATCCAGTAAGGGGTACATTCCCCCATTTTGCCACTAAATTTTAAAATTTCAATGAAATTAGCGCTACTCACTTATCTATTTTGAATATGTTGTGTGTGCTCTCCCTAAGCAAATGTAATTATTGTATATTAGTCAGAATAATACACATTTTCTATGAATAAATATATAAATGAAAACTTACTTTTCCTTAGTATATGGATTTGGTTGTTTGATGAATTGTAGGTCAAACATATAAATTATAAGACTTGATAATTTAAGACTTTTCAGTTTATTCCGAAAACAGATAAATATATTCAAATGAGCATATTATACTAATAAAATTATGAAAATTTTTGTTGAGTGCTCAAAATTTATTGGTTATCAATGATGACATTTACCATCAATAGTGAGGGCGCTGTCCAAAGCTGCAGCACCTCTTGATTTTTTCTCCCGCTCTACTGTTTTTAACTTAGCTTTTTCTTGGATTTACATGTTTACTGCATATTCTGATCAATACTATTAATGAACTGATATTGGTAAATTGATACTGTATACTGAAAAATACCACCAAACTGAGGCCCTACAATTACCAACTTAGCTTGACAGAACACCAACATAAAACAAAAATAAATATGATACAGTAATTGGTTGGGCAGTATCGCTATTGACTATTGCATATTAGCAATGAGTGATTATGACTTCATGATTATTATGTTACTGATCACCAATAATCAATGTATATTGACCAATAATAAATTGTTCAAGGTTAACAATAACCAATTAATATAGACCAATATTCAATTGATATTTTGAAAAATTGAAAATATCTGACAATATTTATCACTAATAATCAATAACCAATACCAATGTAATCAATTTATAATGACCAATCAATTGATTTTTGATTAGTCACCATAACTATATCAATATTATCAATAATGATTGATAATTCAATGAAATTGTAAGATAGTGATTGATTCCATCAACAGTAATCAATTGATGTTTAATCAGTAACTCCTATCACAACACAAAGCATCTATTTTGATTTTTCTTTCTTTTTAGTTACTCTCTTTTCTTTTGCACCATCTTTCTTTTCATCAGATTCTTCTTTCTTTTTCTGCCATGGTAATGGATTTCTTCTAAACATAGGCCACGGTGGTAATGTGAGCTTGAAAAAAACAAATCCGGAAATATTTTGAAGACGTTCATTTCAATATAGATGTGCATTATTTTATAAAGTACAGTACTACAATGCTGAAGTGACCACAGTGTTCTCCCAATTGAATATTTTTTACTTGTAAATTTGTCCCTATTATTTGTCTAAGAGTGCGTAATGTGATGTGAGGAGTTCAATGGCTTTAAAAAACAATACATAATCATAGCCTAGGCCTGGACAGCAATGATGTTCATTTATTGAAAGAAGGCCAGTCTATTTTTGGACTGTCTATTTTTAAGTGAATTTCTTTATGGTTTTGAGTAGACCAAATTGACTACAATATTAGGGATTTGGCGGTTACACTTACAATGCATGATAATATAAAGCCAGCACCAACCATGTAAACTGTCTGAACAAACTGCTGAACCAAATAACCCCAGATGAACCCTACAACCTTTAAAAGAAAATGCTGTCTCTT